AAAAAAATCTTAACTCTTTCCAAACGCGTGTACACCGAAACGGTACCAGAAACGGAAGCCTTCTAAAAAATAATAATTGAATTGAAATTATGAAAATAATTTTGAAGAAATTAAAGCAACAATATTTTTGTGGTGAAGTGTTTTTACCACAATAAATAAATAATAATAATAACACCGATTTAATAAATAAATCAAACACAGCTTTTAAATAAATAAAGAATTTATTCCACGAAGCTCGAATCAGGATACATGAATCGCCAAATTAAATTATATTTTGAGATGCCGAATTCTCAAACAGATAAAGTGCATCTTCACAGTTTGGACCTAAAACGGCAACTGCCCAAGTCATCCCTTGGAAAACCGCGCTTTCCTTGGGAGTCGCGGCCTCTCCATCGCTGTCCTTGTCTAGCATAGACCATATGGTTATCATATGGTCGTCGAACCGCCTAAATCTCTGAGTCTCTCATTGTTTCCGTGAAGTAAGACCCAAAGTTGTTGTCAAGCGAGTTTAAGACATTTCACAAAAATTTCCACTCCGACATTTTTATACATATAATTTAAAATAATGATTTTATCACTTGGTCATCTTTAATTATTGTAAAACATGAAGACATCGAACACTCCGATTCTTCGACTCGGAGTGATCCATTTCTTCATGTTTTATAATAACATTCTTTCAAGTTATATTGAATTTGAAATTTTTGAAAATCTTTTTTCCTATTAAAAAATAATAATGATTAATAAGGAAAATAAGTTATTGATGTTTTCGAATAATTTTACAATGAAAGAAATTCGTAAATAAATGCGATCGAACATTTTTTTGAGTATCTAATAATTTTTAGAGTGAAAAGTGAGGGAAAAAGAAAATTTAATTTTTGTGGCAACCCTGAATTAGTTAATGTGTATAGTGAAACTTAGTTGTCCTGCATTTTTAAAATAATAACTAAATCTACTTTCATGTTATTAAAAAATATGCAAGTGAGATATATTTAGATACTTTGAGGTTTCAGATTACTCTCAGACATAATATATTAAATATAATAATATTTTGTTTTGAAGAGAAAAGGAATGTTATCGAGAATTAAAATTAAGACACATTCCCAAAAAAAAAGTAAATGACATTTTTATATATCCTATCGCCTACTATCGTGTTTTTTGTGAATGTCAGAATTTAAGTGTTTTGGAATTTTTCAAAGAAAGCTGTGCTGTGGTGTTAGAATTTAGACCTCATTTCCGTGCGACATTCTCAAATGACGAAATCCTCTTAATCTAGTCTTTACTGCTCGCCTCTAATGACAACATAATAATTCAATCTATTTTCGGGGAGGCTACTTGACGTTTTATTATAGGTATAGTAAACAGGAAAAATATTCGTAATTTGATATAGAGAGGAATCAATTATTCGTGAAATCACAAATTAACTCACTTTTTCTGTCCCTCACACTCTGAAGTTGTCTTTTGTTTATACTTTTGTTTTTTGTTAACTTTTGATTATATTATTATGTTATAATTATTTTTATTTTATAATTAATTCAAAATTGTAATGACAAATAGAAATCATCAGAATTTTTTTCACTTCTTTTCATTAAAAGACTAAAATTTTGTTAAATATTATGTTTTGTCAAATTGAAATTATGCAGATTTTTGTTCTTTACTTATAAACAAAATTAGAAAATTGTTAAACTGCGATTAAGAAATAGAAAATTAATTTATTTTGCATTATTTTTATTTATGAATCACAATTTTTTTAACAAAATTATTATTTTGGTTTAGAAAAAGAACAAAAATATTTGCACAATTTCTATTTTTAATCTTACATATTTTTGAAACAGGATTTTCCACAGGAAATAAGAGATTCAAAAATTTCAAATTCAAACCTTTTTTAACCGTCAAAAATGATTTTTTAACAGTTGGTAATCATAAAAATTGACTGACACAGTCCGTAAATACAAATATTTTAAAAAATTATTGGATTTGCTTAAAATTTGTTACTCAGGGATTTTTGGGGTCGCTGATTACGAATATGTTGTCAGATTATTAAAATTCAAAATGTCGAATCCAATATGGCGGACTTATTTTTAAAAATTGATCAAATTCACTTGAAACTTGTTACTCGGGGGTTTTTGGGGTCGTTGATTATGAATCCAACTACAGATTTTTTATTTTGACATCATATTTGTAAGCAACGACCCCGAAAACCCCAAAGTAATAAATTCTAAGCGAATCCAATAATTTTTTAAAATAGTTGTATTTACGGACTGTGTCAGTCAATTTTTATGATTGCCAACTGTTAAAAAATCATTTTTGACGGCTAATTTACAATTAGTTTGTTGTCAGCAATATCGCTTTATTTTCTTAAAGTACAGGGTTCAGGCTTTAATTTGACTCCTATGACAAGTCTCTAGCATGTCGGATTTACCCGGTAGACATTTACAAAAACAGCGAAAAACATGATTTTTGGGAATTTACCCCCACTTTTCTCAAAATCCTGACGTGATGGGAGGTTTTCGTTGCCAGATTCGGATTCAGCGCACTAAATACTACGGGAAATGACTTCTCGATCTCAGACAACGGAAATTTTTATTTTTTTGCAGGCTTGTGTAATTGGGATTTTTACGAGAATTTTTTTCAAATTTTGAACATAGTTGAATTTTATTTTTTTTTTGAAAATAATTGAATTTCTGCAATTATTTGTAATTTCTCCAAAATTGAATTTTTTTAGTGTTTTCAACAAAAATTTAACACCATATGACTCGTGATTATTCTGAAATCAAATATTTTCCTTGTTAAGGGTTGTTTTAAATTACAAATTTTTTTTTTATTATCATCATCACATATTTTATTGTTATGGTCAGGTAAATATTTCACTTGTTGATTGGATTTTTCGCTTGTCATCAACTTTTACACGGAAAAAAAAATCAGCCTAATAATGCATGGAGTCTATTGGTTCGATTTTTACATGAGCCCATTTTGCAAATATCACACAGGAGTTTACTAAAAATGCATGGCTTTTGTGACTTTTGCCACAGCACCATGCGAAAATAGGATGGATTCCAAGCTAATCACGCATGGTAGTGTGCGTGCAATATACACAACAGACGCTCATGTGTTTTTAGCCTAGTATTTTTTTCCGTGTAGGATTATTCTTTTTTCCCATATTTATATGCAGTTGCTCTGTCTACTTTCGACTCTAGTTTAAATTTATTATCTTAGTCTACATTTTTAATTATATCTTTATCTTGGTAGATAAAAAATTATCTATTTTGAATTTCTTAGATTTAAAATAATGTAGAATGACTTATGGAATTACGATTTTGTTTTCGTTTCGATTTTTAGGAGAACAATGCAATACGAACTAATTTTGGTATCAATATATTATATACACAACAACTCTTCCATGCTTTCAAATTGTATTTTTAGCTGATAGTTTTAATAGTTAGTAATTTAACTATATTAACAATTTCTATTAGAATTTCCATCTTTTCTATTTTAGTTTATAATTTCCTATTTGGATTTAATTTATAGTTTCCGATTTTGATTTAGTTGATAATTTCCATTTTTGATTTATAGCATCTTTAGATTTATTTTTAATGAAATTAATTTTGATCTTCATTTGTTGGGGGTATTATTAAATACATATTTAACTTCTATTAATATATTTAATATCTTATCGAGAGAAAGAGAGACACGCGCAAGTGATTGGGAAAAGGTGCGTGTCACTTGAATGATCGTTTATTCGCCTGCGGGGCAGGTGCATGTGACCCAACTTTTCCACATATAGGAGGTCGAAGACACCGATTTCAAATATTTTTCATTATCTCAATTTTTATTTATTTTAATAATCAACGCGCGAGAATGTTAGTGGAAGGATTTAGAATTTAATTCTCGATATTTTAAACAATTAAAAGTTCCATTTTTAATAAAAATTACAATTTTTTGGCAATAAGAAATATTTGTTTTTTGTTAAATTTTAATGTTACCAAAATCGTTTTTTTGATGCAGAATATTTTATTTTCTTATTTAATTTCTCGAAATGAAAGTTGTAATTTTTTATTCAAATAGAACTTTTAATTGTTGAAAATTTGAAAACAAAACAAAAAGTATAAAAATTCTTTCAGAATTTTAATGCTTAACGACCTATTAAATTAACATTTATAACTTTCTTTTCCAATTCCGGTGACTTATTGATACAATCTACTCCAATTATTATTATTCTAATTTATTTGATACATTATCTAAATGATTCTCATTTAAATTTTGAAAATTAAACTCAAAATATATTAAGTTCGTGTAGGTAGCACAATTGAGAATATTTAACAGTACATTGATTTTTACATGTTGACAATTATCACTTCGTTCAATATTAACAAATATATATCTACGAATATATCAACTAATTATGATACAGTATTTAGTGATTCATCAATTTTTCAAGTGGAAAAACCGAAAGAATTTTTATTTTTAGAAATTTGAACAACAAAGTTATAAAGTTGACTATTTCGAAAAAAATATTGACGAACACAAACAAATATTAATTTTACGCACAAACACATTTGATGTTAGATGAACTCATTAACAATGTTATCATTGCGTGACACACGTAATTTGAAGAGCAAACAATTTTAAACTGCGTCCTTCCGCTTTCGTATATTATACATAGATGTATACATATACCATTTTACTGGAATTCAATTTGAAACTAGAAAACCCCTCCTTTCTACCCTTTCTACCTTACATATACAATTGATAAGCCCCACCGAGCGTGGAAACGCAACATTGCATCGTTTTCCGAGAAATTGTAATAATAATAATATTAAACGCGTATTATTGTTTACCCATTATTACGTTTGTATGACCCACACCACACGCATGCTATACTATTATATATGCAATACAAATTCACAAAATTGCCCGCCAACTTTGAATTTCAACCGCTTGGCGCGCTACCACTTTCCACACGACGAAAGATTTGAATTCGCGGTGTGTAGTCGTATGCCGGTCGTGGAGGCGCTTGGACGTTTTCATCGTGTGTGTGTGTGTTTTTGTGCTTTTCTTCAGAAACAAAAATAATGTTTGCAAAAACAAAATAAACACGCAATTTCTCGAGAATATATTTTTTAGTTTACAGAAAGAATTAAGAATCAATTTCTGAACTGTCAGAAAGTATCAAATTTTCTCATCAACTTGATATTTATATGAGAAAAGTGTGCCAAATTTTTTTATTAAATCATGTGTGCGATGTTGATTTTTGTTTTGAAGTGATGCTTGTTCGTCAGTAATAGCGAGCAAACGACCTGGTTTTTTAACAATAAAAAGAGTTGAAGAATTTCCTTTTTCTAAGATAGGTGTTAATATTCTGAATAGCAGGTGTTTCTGGCATGAAAGCGAAGTATTCAGTGTTGAGAATGGGAACTTTGTTCTTAGCGGAGAAGTGCATTTGTCTCTCTTGAAAGTTTAAAAGTGAATTATTGATTTGAAAGGATTTTTGAAAAGAAGATTGTTCTTTTTATTGCCTTTCTTTGGAAAGAAAGAAAAAACATCAGACTTTCGGGAATGATTTTTACTGGGAGGTCAGTCGACGCCCTTGATGACGTTCGATCAGTTCAAGACGATCGACGTGAAATCAATGCAATTTCAATTGCATCCGGCTGGTTTTCCAGCTTACGAAGAACGGGGAAAAAATATAAAAAAGGATATCAGAAACAAGCAAAGAGCGCTTGGGATCTGCGAACTTTGACCACTGCCAGAAACACGGTTAGTCGCTTTAGTATGAATGAAAAATAAACTTTAGAAAATGTAACATTTAATCTACTTCTATCCAAATGATTAATATTATTGTCTATTTAATGATATTAATTCTTGGTACAAAAAATCTTCACCTGCAACAGTTGCAAATTTCACTATATTAACGAAATTTTCAGTTGTTTCAATTTTGCTATTTTAGAGAAACTTGTATTTTTTATTTATTTATTTTAGCGAAATTTTTAGTTGTTTCAATTAATACTTTTGCTATTTTAGAGAAGTTTGTCGCTGTTCTAGGTGAAGGTGTTTTTCCGTGCAAAGAAAACACACCTTGAAAATCAATTCTCGAATTGAGCGGAAAATTAGCAAAATGATTTGTTGGATTAAAATTTTTCTCTCAATCTCCTCACCTCCTATACGTTTAAAAATCGAAGAGAAATATATTGAAAGCTTTTCTGCAACATAAAGATATTCATATTTAAAACTGAATTCGACTTTAAAAAGAATAGATTCTAAATTATTTATTTTAATAATCAGTTTTGGTTCGAGTGCACTCTCTTTGTATATAACTTTTATTCATTTCATTAATTTTTATTCGTTTAGGAAAATCGGCAGAATATTATTGAAATAAAAATAATTTATTTGATTCAAATAACCGATTAGGTACTTGACTATTATCAATTAAATATTTTCTTGAATTAAATAATTTTTATTTGAGTTAATTAAATATTTGTTTAAATCAACTAATTTTTATTTGAGCCAATTAAATAGTATTTGCATCAAATACTGAAATTATTGGTTCAAATACCATTTAATTGATTTAAATAAAAATTATTTGATTCAAGTAAATATTTATTTGATAATAGACAAGTATAATCGGTTAGTTGAATCAAATAAATTTATTTTAATTGTGATGGAAGTTTCAATTAAATATTAAAAGAACAAAAAACTGGCTGCTTTCATATATTTTGTTTGTATATAAAAATTAAGAAAAACTATCTTGATGGCTCTAAGTAATAAATATAAAAATCGTACACGAAACATGCTTTGCATTTATAATTATTTGCGTGTACATATATTTCCAGAAAAATTTTTATTTCGAAAATTCACGAATGTAAATTAGGCAATCAAGAATAACATGTGAGAAGTGTTTCTTTTTTTCTCTATCAACTAGTTATAATTAAAGTTTCAATTAAGCTTGAAATTAACATTATGTATTAAAATGAATTGAGTATTCAATATTAGTAAGCATTTTAATTTGTTTAATAGAGTGGTTTCTTTTAGTGAAATAAATTCAATTTACAGTAGTTTGTGAAAAAATTGAAATTTAAAATTAAATTTATCAATTTTGAGGCAATACAATTATTTAAAATTTTTAATTTTAAATGATTTTAAATAAAGTAATAAATTCAAAATAATGTTTTCATTTTATTTCGGTATTTTTTTTATTATTGAAACTTCTTTTAAGTGTCAATTAAATTTGTCGCTTTTCAATTAATTTGAATTTTATTTTGGCTTATTTTGTAAATTTATTTTTTATTTTATTTTTACTAAAAAGACAATTTTTAATTAAACTCGTTTGGTTTTTTTTTATTAAAATGAAAATTTTTTCATTTTCGTTATGGCGAATTTAAAATGTCCATTTATGTTCAATGCTCGTAAATGTAAACAGTAGTAATTACTCTCTTTTGTAAAGTATTTTTCACCATTTTACGTACTGTGTTGCGGTCTTTAATTTCAGCCTCATTACTCGTAAGAAAATTTTCCCTGCAGAAATTAGAGCCTCATTCTTTTGAAATAGTTTTGCAGTATAACATTTTACGTACACCTTTTATTTTAAATAACTCCTTTTTGTCAAGATCAGAGCCTTATCGACCTACGCAATTTAATATTTTATTTTTAAAGTCAAAAAAACCTTCAAATTAAAGTACAAGAGAAATATGGACGCACTTTTTTCAAGTGTTTGTATTAGGAAAATATTCTACATATAAAAATACTTTACTATGACTTTGAAATTAAAGAAAATGAAATTAAATGCAGAAAAAGACATTTTCTATATAAATTATGATACTGTCGAAAGAGACATTTAACTATATGTAAATATTCACCATTAACTTGTACCTTCAGTTTGTATATATATATATATATATATAGTTATTACAAATGCACTCGAGAGTTTGATTCACGAAGCTCATATTTAATTGAAACGAAGCCAAAGTTTCCTTCATCAATTTTAAAGCTTCTCGAGATTAACTGAATCTCTTAACTCAAAAATAGGTTAAAAAGCTTCGTCGTGTTTATCAATGTAATGTGCTATATTCAATTGATTTTTTTTACCATTTATACAAACTTATTTTTGCATTTGTAGAATCAAAAGCGTCTTCTTTTCAATTATCTTTTCAACTTTTGACAAATTTGTATACTTTTCACACAATTTCTAGAGAGATTTCAATTTTAATTTCAATTTTAATTTCTTAAGAAATTGAATTAAGAGCGATGAATTAATTTCATTCAATTCTCAAGAATATATTTAAGAGCGAAATTTTTTCCATATACGAAACATTTCAATATTCTTGAAATATACCTAACTTTTCTTCTTTGTTTTTAGGGAAATTTATTTAATTTTGAATATTTATATCCAAGGGATAATTTAACTTTCAGACTAAAACTATTTTAAAAATATTTAAAAAAAACTATTGTTTGATTGCATTGAACTCTTGATTATTGGAGCATTATTCATAGAGTTGTTATTCTGTTTTCAATTGTAGAATTGGAGAATTGGATTTATGCGCACGTGTATCCGTGCAGCCGTAAGGACAGTTTACAATAAGAGCCACGACTTATTCGGTTTGAGAGGAGTAATAAATACGCACAGAGTCCAAGAGTATTATTATTGTACACATACAATGTGTGAATATGAAGTATTGTTGAGTACTTGATGGCTCTTTAGCTTATGCGTGTATAAGGCAAGGACGAATCGCGCCCTGCAATTTCTTTCCTTCTACTTTTTTCTTTTCTTTTTTCTTTCGTCACTTCATCCGGTCTTTTATTGTTATATCAGTATGGCAACATTATATTGTTGACTATTATTAACTATTGCCAACTTTAAAGACAGACTCTGCCTTTTTACGCAAGCATCATTTCATTTTCACTGTATACACGGAAAATCTTTGTTCAAGAAAGATTACAAAATTTCTTCAGGAAATGAAGATATGGAAAAAATTCTATGACTGTTTATAAATGTTTTGTATAATAAATGAAACTTTTCTCTATTTTTACGAAACTGGAAATAAATCCTTTTTAATATTTTAGGAAAAGGTATAAATGAAATTTCAGAAATAATTTCGGAGAATGTTTGAAATAATTCTATACACTGCAAGCCCGATCAGCGGTCACCCGATCAGTGGTCACTTGTTTACGTCGTTTGTAGATGGGGCGGGCGAGGGGCAAAGAGGGAGTCGAAAAGTTGTGGCAGTAGCGTATACATTAAAGACGCTCTGGCCCCTTAAAAAAAAATTCAGTAGTCAAGTAATGGTAACCCATCATAAAACAGTTCGTACGGTCCTATATGTTTACGCCCGATCAGCGGTCGAGCACCCCCGGAGCTGACCGCTGATCGGGCTTGCAGTGTATTTCTTTCAAAAAATTTAATAGTTCTTTATAATTCTTTTGAAAGTATTCAAATTTTTTGTCATGTAGGATTTCTATTTCTGCGTTTCTGAAAATTACAAAACTGGAATAGAATCGTTTGATGCGCAGTAAGCACTACGCAAGTACATCTGCACGGAAAAAAAAAGTTCACGAATCTCTCGTGAACTAGTATATCACTTTTGGATGGGACACAAAATTCTTGAAAATCAACAAACACAGTTCGTCAAAATTTCATCAACTCCTTCACTAGAAACATAGTACGGTTTCCGAACTTTTCGTCAAAGTTAACGAAAAATTCGTGAACTTTTAAAAAATGCTAAAAACAAGAAAAAATAATTTCCAGACACTACTTTTTTATAGTATTTCACTTTATTTGATAACTTGACGCCTATTACGCACCCAACTGCACAGAATACACAATTTTATCGCCATTAAAATTCGTAATTCGCTTCACGGGATTCGAACCTAGTACCTATACCCTATAAGATAATATTTCTAACAACTAACCGCCACGGCTAAATCTAGATACACTGTCCTTCGACAAACGAAACGATTAGCTTTGTCTGCTGTAAAACTCAGGACCGTGCAAAGTAGAAAAAGTCCCTTATCGTAACTTTTAATTCATTTTATGAATTATTTGTTTCACAAAGGAAATTAGCAAACAAAAATATTCACTAAGTAATAAAAAACACTGATTCTAAATAATAACTTTCATCAAAGAATTTTCCCGAATGTAAACACCGATGACACCGACTGAATGATGAATGCTTGATCAGCCATATTTGATGCGCATTACGAACTGCGCATACTACTGACACTCGCGAGTTCACGATTTTTTCGTGAACTTGTACCTCTACTTTTGACGAACTACTCTTCATTAACAGTTCATCAAAAATTCATTAACTTTGTTTCAGTTTTTCGTTGACGTTCGCCATTTCTAATCAAAAGTGAATGAAAATTTTGAAATTTTGTGTCCCATCCAAAAGTGATATACTAGTTCACGAGAGATTCGTGAACTTTTTTTTTCCGTGTGTGTAAAGGTGATTAAGACCTTAGCCTAAACTGACATAACCGGCAAACGATAATGCTTGGTTAACGGATTATTTGAAAGTGCTAATAATGAATTGATTAAATTCATAGTATAATTCGTAAAAGTCATAATAATAGTTTTTTGAAAAATTAAATTTGAACATAAATATGTTCAGAATATTATTTTTTTATTGTTTCACTAGAGATCATGGAGCCGTTCCGAAATGAGGTAAAAAGTGTTAATTAGTTTATACTGTCAAGTTATTAGACCTATAAAATTTATGTATTAAAGTTAATGGTTCTTTTTTTTAAATTATTAAGTGTATATACTA